ACTCGTACAGTCCACCGACAGCTTCGGAAACCTAGGGTGTGGGCGAAATTTGAGAATCTTATCCCTCTCCCACTAATATTATCTTGAACATTAGCGAATATTAACGCAAAAGCACAAATCACAAAGAAAGATGTCTGTACATTATAAACCACAACGTATATTTTTTAAAGGTATCAATGACTATAGTTTATCCGACACCACGGTATGTGTTGGCTGTACTTTGTGTATGACGTAAGGTACGTCGCAACAATGACGCGCCGTAAAGGCGCCGATGGCCGAAGAACGCCTGGTCCTAGGCGGTTCCAGTCACCACATTATGTCAAGGCAGACACAAAATCGAACATCCCCAGATAACAACAATCCCAAAAGCAACAACCGGTCGACGAATAATTATGTTAATTAATCGCCTTGGTCGTTATTGAGGTGTTAATACAATGACAACCAATGTCGTACACGTTCCTAAAAAAAACAGGGACCAAATGTTGTGTTTTGTTCCTTCTCCATCTTGAAACGAGTTCCCTTGGCAAGATCCAGTGGTTTGAAAGGAACGCATTCCTATTATAATTCTAAGATCAAAACCTTTCGTTAAATTAACTTTACGTTTGCGTACTTTAATGAAATATTAATCTGGATGACCCGTGGATAAAATAAAGCGAGCGAGTGAAAATATCCACATCGAATTTCGTGGCGAATCTTCACAGTCAAATTTGTTCCAATTTTTTTTTCTTTTTTTATTGCTTCCATTATTTTCTGAACCTTCCCCATTATTTTAAAGTCAGACTGTGAATACAGGTGCCTGAAGTCAAGGTTTGAATATATGGTACTTAGCGTCCTATTCTGTCCATGTATCGATGGTGGTCCCAAAAAGGCAACAAATGACGTCACAAAAACCAGAGTGTCAAGCTGTCAGGTGTCGCGATCCTGGCGGTCGGTCGTAGAAGTACTGGCGAAAAACAGGAGCGAACGTGAGTGTCGCTGTCGTCAAAGCGTCACGACTCCTTGTTGCCGAAGCTTCCGCGGACTGACAAGCTGAAGAACAACCCGCAGAAGAAGGGGCGTTCGCCACAACCACCACCGCTGATGTGACGCCACCAGGATCGCGGACGGCGATAGCATGCCACACCTGTGAGGTCATCAGGCGTAAATCGAGGAACCACTTTTTTGGGGCACGATAAACACACCAGTCGGAGACGCCTTCCATGCACCGTAGCTAAAATAGGTGAAAATAATTTCAAGAAAACCCTAAATGCCTACTAAATGTGGCTAAAATTGCATTTAATAGACAAAAAAAAAAGGAACGCTATTCTTTTTGCTGTTTCCTCGAAAAATGTAACAGATTCCGATTCCAGTTCCGCCAATGCAAGATAGATCGCAGGCGTTTTTTTCTTGTTTTTTTTTTCTGTTCTTACTAGATGGAACGCGTTCAAGGATCACGGTTCCTTGGAACACCATTCCGTACAACATTGGTGGCAACTTAAGGAACAGAGGGAATGGCGAATTTCCGACTTATTTTTAATCGCTCAGCAGCCAATGAGAATGCGGCATTAGCCGATATTAGTGCCGAAGGACCGATTGCGATGAAAGAGGCGTGAACGAGATGAAAGAGGCGTGAACGTCACTGCACCTCTTAAGCCGACAGTGACCATGGTGTCAAGACGCAAGTCTTCAGGCTCAAGTAGCCAAGCCGCGCTTATGCCCGTAGTTTTCCGAATGATCATTCGGAGCCAAATTGTTTGAACGGTAGTCGAATAAATAAGGCTGATATTAATGAAGATGAATAAAAAAAAAAAAAAACCTGACCTAGCTTTAAAAAGTGTGTTTTGACCTCCAGAAAAGATTTTTGAGACCCTCAATTCGTGACATGTAACTCAAAATGATACCTTTTTCATTTTGCGGGCAGCCAATCGGCTAATAGAAAAAAACAGCGACGGACTAACAAACTATGCAGTTCCATTTGTACTTAGGAAGACACCGAAGTACGTTTCGGCATTTTAAAATCGTTTATTTTATAATTTTAATTCACTTAGTTTCGTGAGTTCCTGTTACTGACGGCGAAGATGGGAAACAACACGCTGCCCGCTGGTGGTGCCATCTCGCGAAGCACTTCCTCCCAGTCGCACACTGACCAGCTGTAACGACCTAACGCGAAAACACCCTAGAGTTAACAACGAAGTGCTGGGGGGACGACTGACGCCCCCTGGTGCAAAAACGCTCGGTGTTGGATCGAGTGATGTCACCAGGAAATATGGTTGTGACGCGAGACCGGCAAACAACACTGTGACGCGGACGATATCGGCTAGGCTTTAGAGTCATTCACGCTTCCTGTTGGATACGTCATCGGTGTTAAAAACCTTTTCATCATAAAACAACTAACGCTGGGAACACTTTTTTATACGTTGCCAGGGAATGTGCGTGGTTTAAAAGATGACCCCTTTCAAGTGATGTCACGTAAGACGTCAGGCAAGGCGAGAATCGGGGTTGGTTGTAAGCCCGTAGCCACTCGGCGTTCGCCCCTCTGTTCGATATGCAGCTCTTACTTTCAGACAGCCTTTCTTGCAAGAAATTCAGTGCTGATACTCTCTGCATTATAAAGCCTCTTATTTACTTTGTTAAAAATGTGCAGCGTTAGAGGAGATGGGCACGAGCTCAAGATACATCATTCACTTAAACGACCAGCAGTGAGTGTGGGCCCTATGCGACATCACCGACCAGCCATGCGATCTTGCTCCTCGGTCTCACCATGCACCCAACTTCACTTAACCAAATCCTGCAAACAGCTTATTCTAGCCCCACCTGACGTCATCGCACTAACGATGGCACCCACTCTGCAACTGGGTCCGAGCCCAATACCAAGCCTTCTTCAACGCATTGATCGGACACGAGGTTCAGCCGAACGTTGACGCGGTACTCGTGTCGAATCTGTGCACCCGATCTCCCTGTGATGACGTCAAAATGCTACTGCATGTACTTTCATTACTGTTGGTAGTAATGAACCCCCCCTCCCCAAAGTGTGCGTATGTAGTCAGTGCGTTACCAACTAAGAACTCGAAGACTTTGCTTTTTTCTGTCAATCACGCTCTATATTTGACTGCCATGGTCGCATCATCTGATCCAGCACTGAAACGTTGCGTCACAGGGAGCGCCGGAAAGAGACGCTTCCGATTGGTCCACTTCGTAGCGCCATCTCAGAGCGCGTGTTTCTCGTAATACTACAACGGAGGAGGGGGAGGGGGTGCTAGGTTTGGGAATTGTTCATCACGCAGTCTTTTGTTGCAGTCAGTTGCTCACTAGCACGTATCACCACACAATTTACCACACTGGTGAGAAAAATAAAGAAAAAGAAAAACGTGTGCAGCCATCAACTTTGAATTCCAGTCACCGTTGAAAACGGTGCAGTCTTTGCCTTGGCTTGGCCTTGAGGAGTGGTGCAAAATTGAAGGATGAAACGCAAGAGTACAGGTGGCCGGCTATTTCCACGTTTCACGTAGGTCCGGATAAAGTGACGCATTCTCTCCACGATCACCTGGCACTGCACGAAGACATCGGTGGTTCTTGGCGAAGGATTTACTCCCTTCCCAGCTTGTAGGAGATACTTCAGTGTTCTCACACTGCACCACTGTTTCCAAACGATGTTCGCAATGTAGCACTCGTTGCTGACACTTGAAAAATAAATATGAGCGCAACTATATATAATGAAGCATTTTCTGAAAAAACGACATGTGGGTGGTCGTCCTTTGCATTAAAATAAAGGATCGCACCTGTCTTTAGGGCGAAAATTCTCGATGGTTCAATTTTGTATTAATTATGACGAGTGAAACGATAATACCGTATAAACAATGCTCCAATTCGAACAACTTTCATCAAGAAGTATTTCCCGAGTACACGCGTTAAATTGGCCTGACGCTCTTTTCATTTTGTAAAAAAGAGCATATGAAAAACAATGTAAAGCTGTCGTGTCCTCAGGGTTTATCCTTGTCTGATCAGTTTTTCAGAAAAAAGTCGATGACACTCCCGCAACTTGAAAACCGCTGACGTCTCCCAAGACTGTTCGTCATCTTCACAACGTCATTTTGACCAGATGCACTCGTTGGTTCGTATGGAACTGCCTTGCTACTAGAATCGAAATCCTGCGGCCTTCGTCATGGTGACGCTCAAGTCTTACTGTAGCGGCAATGGCCAAGCCACTGGGCAGTAGTGTCTGTTACTGCGTATTCTTGGTTTGGTACTCTCTTCTAGTCTTCAGTGAGGAAAGTGGCTCATGGCATAGTGGCGTTGCGTTGTCTGATAACAATATCTGATGGTGTCTTTAACGTGGCACGTCTTGTTAGAAAATCAACGTAAAAAGATCCACAGATATACCCTGGCAGTTCACAGAAAGCTCATGCAATAAAGGAAACCTTGAAAATATAGGGATTTGAATTGTTTGAAATGCTCTTGATGCGAAGATGAACCTTGCAGTTGATTTAGGTATCACTCAATAGGCCTTTTTAGCTGAGCTCTAATCTTAGTTCTTATTTTGTAACATGAAAACTGTGCACGCGGAATCAATAGATGATGATAAAAACTGAAGAAAGAGCAAATCCTTGTGATCATATTACTATGGGATGGAGCAGGCTGAAATTTCTGGTTTCGAAGAGTTGATACATAAAATAATAAAGGCTGACAACGTTCGCAAGTATGTAACTAGTGGTCTTCATTGCCAGCTAAGGTACACCCCTCATACCTCGTTACGTTTCTGTGCTCCACTTAGCGCTTACGACCCACAACTTATCTGTCAGTACTCCGCACCAATGTGCTCGTCAATCAGTGAACGACGCACTTATTTATCGTTACCTCTACTGGCTATACCGCAAACGTCGTCTCCAAAATGCAGTAGGAGAAAAAAGAACGAGCGGCAGTTTTCCGATGAACAGTTTACCGCTCCGACCGGTAAGCTGACGCTTCGACGATGTCCTGCACATTGTTTTGACCCTCAAGACACGTCTATTAGGGTTAACATATGCGATGTCACTTGCACTGCGACGAGTGGGTACGCAGGGAGGACGGGGGTCTTGGCGTGGTTGTCCGTATTTGTGGGCACGCATTCGGAGTCCGAAAGCAACGCACTATCTCTGCTCCACGGCATGGGTAAAGAGTCGGTGTAACAACACCACTCCCGTGACGAGAAGCAGCGACGATAGCGACCTCTCAGCGAGGTTTCCCTGGCGACCGTGCTGCATGGCTGCGGGCTTTTCACCTGCAGAAAGTAGAGCAACAAAAAAGTGTGAGGGACAATTACGTTATCATTTATATCTATAAACTGAAAGCTCATGGCTCACTACTGTTCTCTGTAATGCGCTAACTTATTGTACGTAGGGAAGCTGTTTACTTCCAGCAGCCTCGAGAACTGCGCATGGGCAGGAAGTTGCTCTCTCGGTGGGAAGAGCATGTGCCCATCCTTCGTCTGCCAGCCAGCACCGCCGCGTACTCTTGACGTCAGAAAAATAAGTTGTCCTATATTTGTTTTTAATTTAACTGAATTCCAAGCTGGTCAAGGCAGAAGTACACAAGGGTAGCCCAATTTAAAAATATTTTACACAAAATATAAAAACGAAACACTTCCAGTTGTTAAACTCAATCATATTTTCTTGCCAGCCTACAGATGGTTGCAAAGCACTGATCTGATTAGCAGAGTCATAATCATGGTGCCGTCTTGACGACAGAGACAAGAGGCCTGTGAGAAGATGAGTGGCATAATCAAGAGGTCGTAAAACAAGCCATTAGAAGGTGACAATATGAACTTTCAGCGAACCTCACTCTTGTTCCTCGTGCCGCACAACCGGAGCCTTTAAAGCACGCTTTTAAGCGCGCGCCCGGATAATACAGTGACCGCAGGGCCCGCCCCTAAAAGCATGCTTCAAAAGCTCCGGTAGTTCTGTACACAGAACACGGTAACCTTCTACTGAAATTTCCTAATGAAGCGTTCAGCAATGGTGAATAATGAAAGGCAATCGGGCAAGCCTGTTTCCTACTTTAAGCTGACTGCTCTGCACAGGGAGCGCCAACACACGGGAAAAAGGGAAATGACGGGATCAGTATTGGAAGAAATGGTAAATACTGATTGAGTGAATAGAGAAAAACAAAATATTCGTTCATATTAGTCTAGAAACGACACCGACTTAATATCGCTAAATAATTGTATACGGGTTCTTCTGAACCTCAATGTGCAGCGCTCGCCATGCAATCAACACCTTTTCACAGAAGGAAGGTGTGCCGTCTAAAATTCAAAATTGACTAAAGCCTCGAATATATATCCACGACATTAACCCTTTTTATATGTATGAATTGTATGCCCCACATTATACAAAAATAAAATGACCGTGATATGAGGAGGAAGAAAGTTGGTGGAACTTTTATTGGGGTTGAATGCGCATTCAGCACGCTGGTGATTCAATTGACCTTTCCGAAAAATCTCAGGAGATCTTGCGGCGATAGAATTGTGGGGCTATTGCAATGCACGCTCGTGCCAACTCGAACGCTTCATATATCTTGGAAGCGTCACGGTTCATTCTCGCCTATTATTAGGAATTTAGAACGCACAAAAAATAAAGCGAATCCTAAAGGTGGTCATCACATCCTCTGTTTCATAATCCTTATGCTTTGTCTACGTTCTCAAATCACAGAATGCTGAACCGACATATCTTCGTCTTGGATACCTGGATAGTCTTACGTGCCGTACATTAGAGGGTAATAACGCGCCAAGCAGACGGCCGGGACGCCCCGTATTTCCATGAAGGTTTATTATGGTGCCTGGAACGCATATCCGACTGCTGGGTTTCGCATCTTGGGCAGCCCCTTCATCGGTGTGCGTGCACGACGTTTGAAATACGTCAAAGAGGCTGTCCTATAATGCTACAAGCTGTTAGGAACTTGGTAGTTCGTCTTTAGAAGCGCGTAAGATAAAAACAAGCGGACTCTGCCGTCACTGCTTTCATGGCATCCAAGCCTGACATTGAAAGAGTTTTCATCGACTGGCCACCTGGCTACAAAAAGCGCTACAGCAGAAAAAGCATCTGCCTTGTGCAGCAGTGCTGCTTTTCCACCGCCAAGATCGCGACGAGCAGAAGGGTTACACATTTGTGACGTTACTTTGACGGCACGAAGGGGCTAAAATGAATACGTTGTGAACAAACATGTAGCACACCCGTTCCAGATGCCATGCTTTGAGCACCCTCGACCGCTGCGCTTTAATACCATTGTTACACGGGCACACTTAACTGCCGTTACGCTAAGCCACAGTTAGCCCACAATAGTTGCGGACAACATCTTGAAACTATGCAGTCGAAGCAGTGGGCGAACGTGCGTTTGAGCAACTTGAGCACCCATCAAAGCAGTGCACGTACGCTCTTCACTTCTTCCCAAATAGGTGTCCGTGACTATAGTGCGGTAATTGTGATGCCCCGGAACAGCAGTTAAACCTGAGTTAACCGTGGTTAAGGGTCCTCGTGTAACAGAGGTATTGTTCCCTCGCTCCAGTGACGTGCCCCGTATACTGTACCGTTGAGCACGTGCACGGTGATGTTTGCCGGGTCCGCGTACGACGGGATGCACGAGTAGTTGCCCGAGTCGCCCGTGGCGGCGTCCGGCACCTGGAGCCTGGACACAGTGGTCGAGGGCCCCCTCTCCGTGGTAACGCGGATGCCAGCCCTCCTCGCCGAGTCGTAGTTGATCATCCGGTCGTCGTGGTACCAGAACACGTAGACCGGGGGCGCCCGGGTGTCCGTCACCACGCACGTCAGGTTGATGGTGTTGCCACTCTGGATGTATAGATTGGAGCCCTCCGGGATACGCGCCTTGGCCACTGGTAAGATTGCAAGGGTAAAGAACCAATTAGCAACCATACCCGACTGCAGCACCACATACTTGACAAGGGATAAGACATTGCACTCCGCCGAATTGCTTTACACAGCGTGCTTACAGAGCGCTGTCTAATGCAAACCAGAGAGAGAGGGGGGGAGGGGAGGCGTCACGGGTTCAAGAGAACGCATGTGCTTAATACTGTCCAGGCCGAAGGAGGGGATTGCTGTCGGAGCACCGAGACACCGGTTTTGCCGAGACAACCAAGACGTCTGTCTCGGCTGGCGCTCGAAATGTCCACGAGAATGGATGGCAGCTGCTATTCCTCCCAAATAAAAGGGGAAAACCTCGATGCTGGGGCGCAAACAGCCGTTCAAACTACGCGAAACCTACACGCATCTAAGCCATTATATCTCCACGAAGTGAAATGAGTTCCACTAGTAACGTATTCGGCAGAACTGTGATTTCCCTTTTTCTTTCATACCTCATTAACACGCTCAACATAAAAAAAAAAAAAAACTTTATTTCAGGGAGCCGGGTGCGGTGGACGGCTTATGCTGCCACAAGTAACTTGCTGAATTAATTATGATAGCTTCGCGTTTGGGTCGTTTAAAGGTTTAAAATCTGTAAGATCTTCAAGATCTCACGAGAGGTACGCTGTTCATACCCGACCACGACGATAATACACAGCAGCCACCGGCATAAATGAACACACCCTAGAGTGGTCAAAGCCCGTGCACTAGAAGGTTGACGTCATCGCAGTGATGTCAAGGGCAGACACAGATTCGACACCAGAGCTTCCTCAGCGTTTGGCAGGGTCTCTTCTCTAATAAATGCATCGAAGGACTCTTGGCGGGAGGAAATGACTGAGTTTACATCATCCTATTGTGATGATGTTACGTTGAGGAGCACGAGGCTGTTACAAGGCTTTTGGTTAGTCTGGTGGTGTTGCATGAATCCGAATATCTAAAAAAATGGGTTTAAAAAGGCTTCCTTCGATAGTGATTCTCCGGACGAGGACGGCAGGGAGGTAATTCATTTATTCAGCCCGAGTTTCGCGTACAGCCACAAACAAACTAAATAGGTACAATGAGCGAGCGTTTGTTTTCTGAGGAGCGTCATTTTGGCGCTTTTCCTTAGTACTAAGTGCTGAGGTAAAGACTCGTCCATGTGAAAGAGATAGGGAGGAGCCCTTCGACGCAAAAAACTGCTGTTACCATCCGCGTCTCCTCAGCGTGGTCTGATTGAAAGGGGAGAACGCCCGCTCGCTGGGAGTTATTTAGTTTCTGCGTGAGTGTACCTTTGAACGCTCTTCGGCGTCTTGTAAGCCTGGAAGGTGCACGTGCAGTCAAAGCACGGCAGAAAGCAGCGATCGCGTGCTTGAGGCCGGAAAGCCGGAAGAGACACCCTTCCTTTCTCATTCTGCTAGTGACTATAGTCAACTAGAGCACGGACAACGGCTCAGACAGCTCTTCATTTATTTATTTACTTAATCTTACTTTCAGTGATCCACCAACAGCTTAACGCCTCCTTAGCGGTGCACTTATCAATGAGTTAATGAGTAGTAAAATGTTAAACAGGATAAAAGCGAAACGTTAGGAAAATACAATAGCCTCAACACACTTTCGAAATTCACGCTTTTTATCAAAAATATCAAGGTTAGCATTCGCACAAATCTGTTCTAAACTGTTCTAAGTCAGTTGTAGGTGTGTCATGGGTGCAGCATGGTAAAAGTCGGTAGGGTAAAACAAAGTATACAGCGGTAATCCAGATAGAATGTGATGCCGGGGCGGTAAGGTTCAACGTAGCTAACTAAACTAGGTCGACGGCGGCAGAGATAACAGAATCGGATGAAGCGCGTGCAAGAAATTCTGCCGTACGCTACACTGGCCCAAAAGAGAATATCGACGCGAGCGCCACTAATCTTCCAAGTCAGAGCAGATAGGGCCGAGCTCTAATGACTGCTTAAATACCTGCCGCATCGGAGAAGAGATAAGACTGGAGCTCGCCCTATATGAGGCCCTTTCTTTCTTCTTTCGGGCGAAAAGGTAAACGAAAAGAAGGCAAAAAAATCTACGCGGCACGGCTTACATTCAATCCGCTTTTGCGAAGAAGAAAAAAAACGAACAAAAAGAGAGGAGGGAGCGTCATTAGAACTGCATAAAAGATCCGGCGTTATCGACAAAATGGTGTGCCTTCTCACTATGGACGCCATAAATTTGACACTGCCCAAAGTTCCGCCGTTCTAACACCCGCAATGAGCTCTGAGAAAGAGAGCGATGGGAGGGCAGCATACAACAGAAAAAAAAAATACTCCAATAGGAAAACAAAAACGTCTCCAGGGGGAGAAAGGTAAGGTGCGTGCATAAATCTCTTCCCTGTATAACTTTTTGGTGTATTTAGGCGTTGCGTTTCAAACTTGTCTGTTTTTACGTTGCTAGGGGGCTCGCTGATGCGACACGCCCTAAATCAGTCTTAACGAGTCCTCTGCTTTTTGTTTTGTTTTTAATTTGCTATTGCGCCCAGTATAACGGCAGAGAAAGCGGATAGAAGGTCGGTGTCGAAGAGTGTGCGGCACCTCGCGTCTCCTATCTTGGGATCGGGTTCGTGCCGCGGTTAACCTCCCAACGTGATTGGGTGAAGTGGGGTTTTTGGAACGATTTCGGCTTCGATTGTTCTACCGCAACGCAATGAGAAGTACTCGCGCGAAGTAAGTCTACTTCAAAATGGAACTTTCTTGGCGGTGATAAAGTTATGTTGTACGTTGGGAGACGTTAAGTATATTATAAACGTACTAGAATGGAAAGCTGGGCGAGTTGGTATGAATCCATATTGAAAAACAGCGCGAATAACACACGCCTCGTCCTGTGTGTTCTCTCCTTCTTGCCCGTGTATTATTCGCGCTGTTTTTCAGAATGGATATTATAAACGTGCTGCGGAAATGCGTTGCAGGGTACTTGTGGTCACGGCAAAGGACACCTGGTTTTTGTTTGCACCTTCATGCGGCTAGAGTTTCGATGCTTGTTGAAAAAAGTTGTGGCTACGTCTTGTTTAAATAAAGTGGGAGGGGAGGGGGGGGCGCTTGATTTTTACTCATCTTCACATTCTGTATTGCTGCATAAAAATCCAAATTTAAATATCGGTGCGTGATTGATTGGTTGCTTAACAATGTCTCTATTAGGCTTTACTAAGGTGCGTGACTGCACTGAGCTGCAATAAGTTGAAAGTTTATTTTTTTAATCTTGTTCAGATTGAAATCTTTTTAAGCGCAAATTTTTTAAAATTGATTCCCTCCATTTTAAGACCATAAGGCGTGATCTAAAAGTGAAGTGTTTGACCGACAATGATAGTGATATGCAGCGTAGTTTTGACAGCGCTGCACTCTGAGTTTAAAACGGAGGACAGTGACAAACAGCAACCACTGCTTGGAAGAAGCTCCGTCCAGTTGTTGGTAGCAATATAAGCGCTTGAAGCTCATCAACTCTCTAAAAAGAACGTGCTTTGGAACAAACGCTACTGCAATATATTGGTCGGATCGTCGGGACCCCTGGTTCTATTTTGTTGGGCGATAGATATGATATAATATAAATACGAAAAAGTGTGTCCATAAACGTACCCTCCTTGTTTTTAACATGAAGCGTTTTTTTGGCTAGCTTCTCCGGATTTCGTGAAAGCAAATTTTATGAAACCTCGGCAAGTGACGTTACATTACTTCAGTTTCTCCTCTAGATTTAACGGGAAAATCGACATCACGTGACCTCAACGCCTATTCAGTTTCCCCGCCACATTTACCGGGGAAAATAATGTCACGTGACTTTATGTCACGGGACCAATACACAAATTCAGTTTTCCCACTACATTTAGCGAGGAAATTGACGTCACGTGACCTGACATCACCTGATGCAAGAACGCCTCACGCATACAGCACAATTGCCTATCAATATTTCACACAATTTTATTCTTTCTATTTTAACTATGGATATTGCTGCTTTTTGCGCTAGTGCCACTTAAAGATAAGTTTCGTTCACAACGACGTCTTGAGCACTCACACCTTAGAAGCCGAAGCTTTTTTTTTTTTTTTCATTTTGTCGTCTTCAGTGAATCTGGGAGCTACTTCAGGTGGCGAGCACGACGGAACTCGGCGACAGTACGCGGCAAACTCAACAGACGCGCTTCTCTTGCCGGTCGCCGGGACGCTGGCAATGCGCTAATTGCTTCGGCGCGAGCGCGCCTTGAACGCGCTTGCGACTACGCGCTGGGATTAATTTCCGATGAGATTAAAGAAAGGTACACGCCCCCATCATCAAGGCGGTATGCGGCGAGCATGTAGTTCCAAAACGCGATCTTTCGCTCGTGGGAGCGAGAGTTCGACAAAGCTGCGCCCTTGCTGTTTGCTCTCCGAAGGCTGGAATACACAAGACATTGGCCGTAGATTTCTTGTCTGGTAATTCTTAGTCGACAAAAACCACGTACCCTTCGAGGTACTTCCTCTCCATTTTAGAACGCCAAGTTCTTGGTCATAAAAACCGGTGGATTTCCGAAAGGCGTGAAAAAAGGTAAAACAACAATTTCTGGGACCGGCACACGAGCCACGACGCCGGTTTTCGGCGCCCGAACGACGAAAACTGACGCCACTGTTCCCTGTACTCGAGGAGCAGACTGTGATTTCTCTCGCTCTGATTGGAGGGTAGAGTGGGCGGAGACAAAAGCAGCTCGCCCTTGGGTCTGCTAGGTCTGACAACTTTCATTCCAATGAGAGCTCGTCGCAGTGACGTCACTCTACCAGCTGCGTAAGAAGCGGACGAACATGGTTGCCGTATTGCTTTGCCTGGCCGGTAGCCAAGGTCATCGCGACTCAAGGGGGGCAGGGACTCACCGACGACGGCGAGCGAGATGTTGAGGCTCATCTTTGGCTCGGTGGAGACCTGGCACTCGTAGACGCCGGCGTCCCACTTCTGGGTGTAGCGCACCTCCAGGGTCCAGTCCTCGGAGCCCTCCAGGTGGATCGAGTGGAACCGCTGGTCCGACGTGTACGTGTACGTGCCCACCGTCAGGATGTGCAGGTCACGCTGACGCACCCACGACACCTGCACACAGAGGGACGAAGGGAATGGAAAGTCAGGTTATGTCGAACACTACTCAGACGTAGGACAGCGAGAGCAGACAGAAGCGATCCGAGAGGATATCAACACCATTTGTCATCGATATGAACCTGCTGTGCGGTTTTTAAAAGGTTTGTTGGCGGGTTGTGAGGAGGCCCATATCAAATTCTTCGAAGAGGAAGAGGTTCAATTCGTGATCATCGGGGGATAAAGATGAGCGAGACGAATGTGTTAGTACGTCCTAATTTACTGTTTTCGCAATTGTACACCGAGAAGAAAGGGGGAACAGCAAATAACGGAGCTCGAAACAGGCCTTGACTCAGGAATGCCACCTGCGTTGGGAAACAGAGCACGCTCCAAGCGGCAGTCACATCAGACAGAATACACTGTGCTTGCTGCTGACGACAGCATTATCTGGAGACGCGCTTCAAGCACATTCGAAGCTTGTTTGCATCACACATAATGTACGCTTCAATGAGGGAGTCATGTTCTTGATGGACAGTAAAGCGTAACTCTCGGACAACTCTAGCTGAGTTTAGTCATTTAATACACACTGCTGAAGAAATAGCTTTATGCATCAACTAGACCAACTGTTTATATACAAAGCTGTCACTCAAACTGTTTTCGCTACAAGGGAAAAAATAACAATATTGGTCGTCAGAGCACAGCTAAATCTTGCAGCTGCAGAAATTTAGAGATCGCTGTCAGGATGGTGGCTCAGAAAACTATAAAACCAGCGAAATATATTCTCCACCGACTGGGAGAAGTCTGAGTTGCCGGAAATGCGTCGAGCGATGTTCATTGTCTGCGAGGACTGTACGACTGACATCTCTTTCCGAAATTGAAAGCCGAAATCCTTTTCGTCATTATCTTCTCCTCGGAAATAACTTCATTTTAATCCAACAACGTTTCGCTTTTTTTTTATATATCATAATTTTTGTATTGACCTAAGAAAGCCTTGAAGTATTAAGGAGAGATAAAGCGAGTTGAAATATGTATATGTTGTCCGGTAAAATTTTTATCTATATACTTACCCATATAGTAAAAATTTCCTATGCGATCGATGTGCAGAGTGTTTACCACGTTATATGCCAAGTATACAAGAATAAATTGTGTAACTAAAAGTAAGTAACAACCAGGCTTTGATTCTTATTATGAATAATTTAAGTTTGGAATAAACAGACCGTGCTAAAGCCTTTGAAAGCATACAAGAGTCCCATGCGATTTTTGTATGCTTTCACAAACATCAGCCCATCTGTGTGTGTGTGTTTGTGTGTGCGCGCGCACACAAACACATGCACACACGCACGAACATACAGGTACACACGCGCACGCGCGCACCAACACGACAACACATACACACGAATCCACATGCATGCACACGCAAGCACACAAAAAACATAACTGGCGATGTACTACAATGCGAGGTGTCTTCTCGGGTCTACGTACAACCTTCGCTCAATCGCTTTCGGTATTATTTTTAAAGGGCAACTCCGCTTAATTTCAAAAATTTTGAGATAGTGGCCGATTTTGCTTTTTGAAGCACTCAAAAACAATCCCCAATCCTTTGTTTCGCGAAAAATAAAATATTTTTCGTGTAATTTTACTCTAGCCATGATCACAAACCGAAACCGAAACGGTGGCAAAGCCGGACAACATTGTATATTCGGCATCACTAAGCATGTACACCCACGTGATATACAAGGGGAAGAAGGAGCTCCCCTCTTATCAGGACCCTCCTTTGTGCCTCCTGGATTAGCACAGGCGTCGCTATTCTCCTCCCAGGAGATTATAGAAGATTAACCTGTCACTCAAAATTCTTACAAAAGCAGCTTCCCTCTCCTCCTTTTACTTGGTGTTCAAAAGTATGCGATGTAACACAAGCCGCGCTCAACGAGGCGATCGGCTTATCAGTAGTATCAATAGTCGAGCGCCGGGCCGGCCGAGCGCGTCACTCACGTCTTTCACGGCGCTGGCGCCACCCGTGCTCTCCCCAAAAAAAAAAAAAAAAAAATTGAAAAAAAAAAAAAAAAAAAAAAAAAAAGAAGCTGTACATGTTTGATGACGTCGCGGACGTGCCGGGAGAAGGAATTTGGAGGAAGCGGAAATGCAGCCGGGCAGTGTTGCCTGGCCCGCACGTCTCAACCAAAACCAGCGGATTCGTGCTTGTAAAACTTTGACAGCGATTTTAATGAACTTCTAGGCGGAATTCCGTCGTAATATTTGCCATGGGGGTTTTGTAGATGATAACAAAGAGAACTGTATAGTTTTGCACTACTGGAAAAGAAGCGGAGTTGCCCTTTAAGCAGTTTTGATACCCTGTACTCCGCTTCGGCCTCTCGAGTTGTTCCGCGCTGTTCGATTTCATATTTCTTTTTTAGTTCACTGCAATTTTCAAATTGCACGCATATTTTTTTTGTCTCCTCAAAATCGAAGAAAGCTCACCCAGGCACCATTTCATTAATAATAATAATAAATATTTTAAAAAAAATGAAGGAGGCGGAAAAAGGAAGAGTGGAGGGGGGAGGGGGGGGGGGGAAGTTGTTATTGGGAACTTTGATTTGGGTGATTGGACGCGCTCGCTGTTTGCCTTCTACGAAACAATCGTTGTTGTTTTCGGGGTACAATTATAATGTCTGAACAAATCGAATGAGACGATGCGAAGTAGGACAGCAGGAATAAGCGAGATAAGAAAGAAGAAAACAATCGCCGCAACAGCGAGCTTGGAAGCGCGATGCTCTCGACCGAGAAAGAAGGGTGCATCGTGTTTCTCTTCCCACAAAAAACAAAACAAATACAATAAAACTTTTCTTCATTTTAAAGCCAAACATACACAAACAATTATGTACTACCGAACGTTTATCCTCTAACCAGATGTAGTGCTAGCGGGCCAAACCAGACTTCACGGTGATTTTCAGTATTTTAATGGGAAAATGGGATCCTTTATTGACTGCTTTCGGCAGCTGGCGTAATCGACAGCTCCACTGGCTGCTCTTTTCCCATCGGAAATTTCAGAAAAACACTTGTATAACTCTCGTAAAAAGTAACGGTTAGTTTTAAAAACTTGGCATCTGGTTTTGACCGGTAGTGCTACATTTGGGAGGAGAATGAGGACTCGGTTATGCGTAATTTGTTTTTTTCGACAGAACCCTCGTCGCCCCCCCCCCCCTCACCCTCCCCCAAAAAAACTATTTTTAACATTTTGCAGAAAACACGCAAGCATTTGAAAATCGGAAAGGAAAAACAGGCACAGAGGTGGCGAAAAAAAAAAAAAGAGAGCAAGGAGATAAAAAAGAAAAACGATGAAAAAAGATAACAGAAAAAAAAAAGGTATGCAGTCAAGAAAAAAAGCCGCTTACAACTCCCTGTAACACCGAATTAGAGCGCAGCTCTTGAGGAGGAGGAGGGAAGGGCACTGGGGGGGGTTAAACTAACCAGTGGGGGTTCACGTGACCTTGGGGGTCACGTGACCCCCAGTGCCAATGATGTCATCACTGACGTCACTGATGACGTCATCACTGACGATGACGATGCGGGTACCGATGACGTCATTAGTGACGTCACTGATGACTTCACCAGTGATGATGACGATGACGATGCGAATGTCGGTGACGTCATCAGTGACGTCGCTGATGACGTCATCAGTGATGATGACGTCATCAGCGAGTGATGAGTGATGATGACGATGCGGATGCCGGTGACGACATCAGTGACGTCACTGATGATGTCATCAGTGATGATGACGATGACGATGCGGATGTCGGTAACGTCATCAGTGATGATGACGATGACGATGCGGATGCCGGTGACGTCATCAATGATGATGACGATGTGGATGCCGGTGACGTCATCAGTGATGATGACGATGACGATGTGGATGCCGGTGACGTCATCAGTGATGATGACGATGACGATGCGGATGCCGGTGACGTCATCAGTGATGATGACGATGTGGATGCCGGTGACGTCATCAGTGATGATGACGATGACGATGTGGATGCCGGTGACGTCATCAGTGATGATGACGATGATGATGTGGATGCCGGTGACGTCATCAGTGATGATGACGATGACGATGTGGATGCCGGTGACGTCATCAGTGATGATGACGATGACGATGCGGATACCGGTGACGTCATCAGTGATGATGACGATGACGATGTGGATGCCGGTGACGTCATCAGTGATGATGACGATGACGATGTGGATGCCGGTGACGTCATCAGTGATGATGACGATGACGATGTGGATGCCGGTGACGTCATCAGTGATGATGGCGATGACGATGTGGATGCCGGTGACGTCATCAGTGAGGATGACGTCATCGGGGGGTCACGCGACATCGGCAGGGTCACGTGACCTCGGGGGGTCACGTGACCTCGAGGAGGGGGTCACGTGACCTCAGGGGAGTCACGTGACTTCGGGGGTCACGTGACCTCGGGGGGTCACGTGCCCCCCACGAGGTCACGTGACCCCGGTGGGGGGCTCGCGCGGTGCATTATGGGACATTTCCCATGATGCACCGGGGTCACGTGCCCCCCACGAGGTCACGTGACCCCGGTGGGGGGCTCGCGCGGTGCATTATGGGACATTTCCCATGATGCACCGCGCGGTTACGCCGACGCCGACGGCGACGCCGCTCAAGCCGGAAACGGGCCCCTAAGAGCTGCGCTCTAAAAGACGGGCCGGTATAGACCTTTTCCCCGGGGGCGTCGCTTCCAGTACGGGGGAATACGTCGTTCAGTCTATTTATGATTTAATTACTTCTGTCACCCATTCCCCTTTTAGACGGCAGCTATTAGGCGCCAGTTTCCGTGTTTCACGGCGTCGGCGTCGGCGTAACCGCGCTAAATTTAGCGGGAAAATTGACGTTATGTGACAAAAACACCAATTTACTTCCCCGCTAAATTAAGTGAGGAAATTCAGTTTCTCCGCTAGATTTAGCTGGAAAATTGACGTCACGTGACCTCGACACAAATTCAATT